TAAAATCTTTTTCCTCAACAAAGCAGGGCTGCTGGCTGGAGCCCTGGGTGATGACTTTGCACCTATACGGCCTTTTTGGATAGGGTTGCTATGAGTCGATTCGACTTGACGGCACGCAACAGCAACAATAGCCCCCTTTTCTGGCTTAAGTTTGGCTTCTTTCTTTTTCTAACTTAAATGGGGAAATGCTTGAAGATGGATTTCGATGAAGAAGAGAAAACACTCTTTTTCTGTGATGACAAAAAGGGGTGAAAAAAGGGAGAGGTGACGTATTTCTTTTAAAACCAAAACCCCTGGCCATCGAGTCAATTCTGACTCACAGTGACGGTTGTACAACATTGTGATTGTGATTAATGTCACCGTATTATACACTTGAAAATAGTTAAAATGGCAACTTTTCTGTGTCTGTGTTTTACCACAATTTAAAAAAGTGTTCAGTAAAAGTCTTTTTCCAACTCAGATATCTGGGTGGTTGAGGGCCTCATTATGGGTAGATTAGACAATTTATAAAGAACAAAATAAATTTAAATGCCGTCTTCGATGGTGCCTGCAGATAGGAAATGAGCATTGTTATTTGGGGGATGGATGCCTCTCTTGCCACAATATTTTCAGAGGATGTGGGTGAGTTGTTGGAGTGATGGGCTGGAAGTGTAATAAATACAGACACGGGGCAGAATCCTCTCGGAGGGGGCTGCAGTTGATGCCTGAGATCCCATGTGAGACGCGATGCCATGCGCAAAAAGATGCCATGCGGCAAAAGAAGCCACGTCCATCATATCCCGATCTCCGATCTACGTGGAATGTCGCACTGCCCCCTTGCACTTTTAGCACTTGAGAAGAAAACCCGGAGTGCAGAAGACAATAAAAATGCAGCTTTGCCTTTCTCTGCGCTCCTTTAAAGGGCAAATTTTAAGTAGCCCCCCTGAAGCAGCCAGGGGAGGCCAGGCCTTCAACGAACGCCTCATCCAGGGCCAAGCTACAGGAGATGGGCTGGTCCCCGAGCCGTCCGGGTTTAGAGCGCATCTACAAGGCCCAAGACTTAGAGGACGCACAGGCGCTCCGGCCTCTCCCTCCATGGAGGACAAGCCAGGGCCAGACATGGCCTGAGGGCGTACAGCCGGCAAAGGTTTCCAAAACTCAAATCCGGGAAGAATTCGGCCTCCACACCTGCGCTCCCTGCTGTGTCCGAGTTCTCCCAGGCTCCCTCCCCAGCCCTGCCCGCCTTTACTCACGACTGACTGCGTCTTTAAAATGGGTCTTCTCGGAGGAGTCGTAGATGAACTGCACCTTGCTCAGCCTCCACGTCGCCTCCGGCCCCTTGGACGTGTTGTGGCTTTCCTAACGAGCGGGGGAGGTGCCCATCAGTCGCCCCGCGTGGTCTCAGTCCTGAAACCTAGTGGCCGCTCCTGCCAACACCCACCCGGAGACTGCTACCTCTCCGCGTACCGCGCCCCGGAGTTACCTTCACAAACAGCATTTTGAGCGCGTACGCACGATCCACCCAGAACACTTGCAGCTGCGACTCGTTGTGGCCACAGTGGCCCTTCACTTCAGCTCCCCGGGTCAACGCGATTTCAGCCTGTTCGGTGATCAGCTGGGAACACAGACGCCCCGCACCCGCTCAGCGCGCCAGGCCCCCAGAGGCTGGAAAGGGAGGCGCGTCCAAACTCCGGGCTGCACGCTTGGGTGCTCCTTTGCGCGCGCGCGCGCTCCCAGGTCCGGGAACATGCGGTTAGATGCTCTACGTGCAGACTGGGGCGTTAGGGAAGCAGAGAAAGGGGGTTTACTTTCATAGCAGGTATAGCGAGCAGAAGGCGTTACAAGCTCGAACCCCCATGCAGCATTCCGGAGCAGCCTGCAGGGGGTGGGGGGCGGAAGGAGGGAAAAGGCGAGCGACCCAGTCTTCTCAGGGCCTTAAAGGAGGATCCCCTTCGCCCTTTGTGCCCTAGGAGCAAGCTGGGTGTGGGGGAGGTTCCTTACATCGACATAATTGCTGGCCCACACATCATAAGGTACAACAAATTTGGCTGCAAACTCTGCCATGAGACACGTCGTCCCATTTTCCCGCACCACAAATATATCTTTTTCAGGGTTAGTGGAAAGGCCTGAGAGATTTTCCACTTCTTGTTCTGCCATGATTTGAGCCACTGTGTCTGCGGAAGAAGCAAACAAACAAATCCTACCAGCGAGCCCAGGTCTCGAGAGCATAGGTGGTGAGACCGTGTTTTGCGGGCATGGGGGTTACAAAGTTCCACGCTGGCTGCTGTGCACTCTGCCAGCCATTTCTCTAGCCTGGCGCCAATAAACTCGGCCCTGTTGCTATTAATTTATAATTAAAATAAAATTTAAAAAAAATGTAAAAGCCCTGCTTATTTGTAAACCGACTGGTCTTTTTCTACATCTTGGACTTTTACACCAAATTTGGTGCCAATGCGCCAATCCCACCGCCTGGCGCCCTGTGTGGGATATGCGGTACAGGTGTGTGGCTCCTGGGAACTTCTCGACACTGGCGGGAAAGCGACCCCCCCCACCACCCGCCCCTAGGCGTTACACCAGGGCCACATTTTGACCCTAAGCTACTGGCTTTAATATGCTCATTCTATTCTCTGCAAAGAGGGCACCCAGCCCTCCCGGTCGCAGAAACAGTACTCACGGAACAGCATCAGAAGAACTCGTAGTCTCTCGACGCTGGGAACAGCTCTTGCTTGGAGATCCATGCTCGCGGTGCAGCAAAAGAGGCCAGATGTGCTGTTGCAGAAGCCGTCGGAGAGGGAATCCCTCAAAGTCGCCGCTGGAGCGGGCCGGGGTGAGAGAGGGGAGGGGGCGGAGAGGGACGTGGGAGGGAGCGCGGGTGCGGTGCGCGCTGGCGATGACTGGGTGTTGGGTGCTGCACCGAGCGATGCAGGCTGAGCACGAGTCTGCTCACTGCAGAGGGATAAACCGCTCGGTAAAGGGAGCTGTCCACGGCCGCGCGTGCTGAAAGAAACTCGGTCGTGTTGCAGGAGTGGCTGTAGCTTGACTTGTGTCGGGGGCAAATGGGATTTTAAAGGGCTACAGTTCTCCTTGGGTCTGTTTCGTGTTCTGCAGTTGCATCCGCAAAGATAAGTCTGCCCTGAGAAACTTAATAGCAACCTCAGACTTATTCAGTGTCCCGAGCAAGTACACAGTTATTATGTGGTGTAGATATCCCATCCCTGGAGTCCTGTCTTCTGAAAATGCATCTAATTCCTGAGAGAACACGGTAGAGCACAAATTGTTGCTGCTTTGGGGGAAGGAGGGGTAGGCAGGAATCTGGAAGGAAAATGCTATGGCAACAGTTTCCTCTGCATTTGGAGACATCTTCTCTCCCCTGCTCTAATTGAGTTCACGGGTCTGAAGTTAAATTGACGCCTCCTCAAACAGCCTTCCGACACTGCAGTATATCCAGTTGGGCTTATTTTCTTGTGGGTCCGACTCTACGATAGCATGAGTACTCTGAATTCTGGGGTCACCTACCCTCACTCATTATATTGTGACCACTCTGCCAAGAGGGATGTAAATGAACCCGCGGTTTGTGAAGGTTATCTAGGGCCTGTTAGAACAGAGATTTTAAAAGGATGGCCCAAGTAATGTCACACAGTTATGTAAAAAACAAATGCATACTGATATCACTTTAAAATCTCTAGTGGGAAGGAAAAACAAATACTACCCGGCTAATTCCTATGTTTACATTTTAATTAGTTTGCTTATTTTTAATTTTTACTCTGTACATAAGAATACAGCTCTTTCAGCAACAGACATGCTGTCCTCAGCAAATGTAGGGATGTCTAAATATTTCATTTTTTAAAGGATACATCATTAGGTGAGTAAATAATTGTTGCATCAGCAATACAATGTCAGAAAACAAGCAATTTCATATCAAAGGAAAATTGCCAAGTATTTTCACATGCATTCTTTAATTTGCTACTCCCCACAATCTTAGAAGATAGGCAAGAAGATATACTCTATTGAGGTTGTACATCCCCCAAAACTGAGGCTCAAAAAAATTGAATGACCTTCCCAAATGTCATCTGGTTAGAATTAAAATAGAAAAATCACATGCCTTAACTTCATTGGGATCATCTTTATTTTTCCTTACATAATACTTTGATTTCAAAATATACCATATTTTAACTTCTATAAAAAGATCTTTATTCAATGACCAAATAACAAGCTGAAACCTAAAATCTCTATCACTAATTCACATTCCTGAAATGTATAAAGCGCTGTTTTAAGTATAATCGTTTTCTGACATAATATTTGCTAGAAAGTTTCTATATTTTTTGCCTTCAAACCTATTCCTGAATCAATAATTAGAATAATAGCAATTAGAATTATGAAGTAATGCTTAAATTGATACTATGTATTTTCCAGCTGTGCTTTTGTGTCTGTATTTCAATATTTTATCCAAACAGTTCCCAAAAAAATTACATAAATAGACTTTACGTAGAACAATAGAGGCAGAATTGTGATTGATACAAAGTCAATTATTATCATT